AAACTGACAAACAAAATGGGAAAAATGTGGTAGCCTAATTGATGTGCTGACAAATGTGGTAACCTTATTGTACTGAAGAAAGGTAATTTTTGTAGAATTATGATAACATTATAATTATTGTCTAGCATGTGTCCTGGGTACCTTTACTCTATTTCAGGCCAAAATACCATGTCATTTTCCCTACTACCTTCATTAATAAGACCTGACATGTTTTCCTTAAGAGCAAAATGATGCAATAACACATTGTCCTATCCATGACCCTGGTTCCAGAGAGCACAAAATCTTACTTTTCTTGGAAATAACCACTGATACTTTGAACAAGAGCTCGGGGAGACAAGGGAAAGTAAATTCTCTCTGACTTACGGCAGACACTAATATCTGGCTACATGTACTTTTTTTTTGTCATTGCAACTTGAATAATTTTTTTGAAGAATTCCCAGAAAATATATTCTATTTTAGTGTTTTATTGTCCTATTCCTCAGGAAATGCATAACACTTTTGTCTATCATCAGTCATAATAAGAAACAAAGTTAATTCAGCAAAGTTTGAAGAGGCAAAAAATTATGAAGTTGCAGCTTGATGTGACCACTCGTGTTTCAAATGAACAATATGGTACTGGGTTCCTGGATGTACATGTAATAGTCAGCTAAATGATTCTATGAACTTGTGTGTAATTTCCCTGTAAAATCCTCCCACAGACCCACACCCTCCTGATAAAATATCCAGGAAAAAGAAAGATATCTCTGAAAAAAAGCATAACATCTGATATACCGTATTTATAGCGCCCACCTCGAATAAGCACCCATCCTAATGGCAGAAAAAGTTAATAAGCGCCCAGCCTCGAATAAGCACCCACCCCCTCCTCCTCCCAATCAAAGTCAAATAAGCGCTCACCCCCACCCAACCCACTTGAGTGAATAAATTCTAAGAAGAGACTTTCCCGAGGACGGAGTTTTCTTCAGAGTATTTTACAGAAACCTTGCTTTGTTACTTCTTCGCCTCTTGTTATTAGCAATTATTGTTTTGTTGCAAAATAAACATACTTCACTTGCTGAAAATGGTGAAAATTTAATAAGCGCCCAGCCTCGAATAAGCGCCCACCTCAAATAAGTGCCCACTCTCAAGGTCCAAAAATTTAATAAGCACCCAGGGCGGTTAATCGAATAAATACGGTAACCCATTGGTTGATTATTAAATTCATCACTAATAGATGAACATGGGAATTGGTGCCTAGAAAACTGATGGCAAGGATGTTTAGTTATCAAGGAAGGCACAAGGAAGTAACCATAGCAAACTTCTAACAGCAACCTCACAAGTGTCCTCCCCCCTTAATTGTCAGACTGATTTACTACAAAATAATGAAACAAAAACCTGCCCTTGAAATGTGACCATAACCTTTCCCAAGCCTTATGAGATTGTCTGATTCCTATTGCTGCAGTCATAAGCTACTACTAAGATGTTGTGTTAAACAAAACCACTGCTCAATGGGATCTTTTGATGGAAGCTTTAAACCTGCTTTGATAAGCGGTTGTACAGAACATGACTGTGTCTAGGAATGCCTTGCCAATTAAAGATCAAAACTTTAAAATCCTTTGTATAGAAGTGATTTATTCAATGAAACAAGTCCCAAATGTAAAAATGCTGGCACATTATTGTCATTTCCAAATCAGCCTCTGTTTGTACAATGGTGGCACACACACGCTGAACTAATTACGTGTATTATTAATGATTTTTTTTTTTGACAATCAAGGAATGAGTTCCAATTTATCACATGACTGAAAAACGTCACACTACATAATGCATACAAATACAAAGGATTTTTGAAAATTTCACCTAACCTACAAAAATGAAGACCACCCAAAAAAATTTTTTTTTCTGATTAAAGCCAATCAAAATTTCTGGACATCTCAGACTTCTTTCTAGCAACCCCCCTTAAAATGCTTAAATTAAGTTTCTACTGTTTCCCAGAAAAAGGTTTTATAGACCCCAGAGATCATATCAATATTTGCAAAGATTTTGGAAAGTTGAAATGGTTTCGATCTAAAAAAATTTGGACTCCAGACCTACAGACATGTTATATGGAAGTTATTTCAGTCATACAGCAATTGGGTAATTAAATTATTGATGTGCATTTTTTATGATTTATAATATTAAAGTTCTGTTCCTTTGTTTAAGAAAATCTTGAGTGAATGCGGGTTGTGGAACAACAGCTGGGTGAAAAACCTCCCTGTACGTCCACTAGCTCCTAGGAGGAAAACCCCAGGCCAGCTGTACCCCACATTCAGGCCTCCCGGGCAGGGCCAGAAATTTTTTTCATCATTTTTGTGATCAGGACTCAGAAAAGTATTATTGTTATTATTCAAGTAAGATAATATTGGTAACTAAGATTTCTAGTCAATGCAATTATCACACAATACAAACCAGGTGTTACAATCTGACTCCCCACAATCCATAACCCAGCTCTTGAACCAGGCACACATGATGTCTCATATCACTTGCCGTCTAATCTATCCTCTCCATTGACACTTCTTGTACTAGGTGATGTCATCCAGCGGCCAGCTCTAGTTTGCCCTGTCCATTGCCCAGCCAGCTGTCTTGTTTGCCCCCCTGGAGTCTAACCTCTTCATTATCCAGTTGCCTTGTACTAGGTGTACAATGTATGCGTGTTACATGTCATTCATGCAGCCAGTTGATTTTTTCCCATCTAGTGTCCGACACTACTGCACACTCATTAATGCAAACCTCCATTAGTCTATACCACTCTGGTAGTTGCTTCCTACAAAGCATGAAAGAGATTTTTACATGAATATTTACATGTACAAATACATTCTATAATGCAGTGGTATTACCAGTAAATTATGCTTCTGAAGATAGTTAAAACACTAAGTCATTGGCAAAAGCAAGGTGTACTGAAGAGTAATATAATCACAAATTCTGCGATATACAGTAATTGGCTAACATAAATGACTATCTGTGGCTTAATTGTACTGGCAATTTGGAGAAAAATAACAAAAAATTGCAATTACATCAACAAATGTCAGTCAGTCCATCAGTCCACCTGTCAACCATTGAAAAAGTGAGCCAGTCAGTTAATAAATTTAACAGTTCGCCTGTCAGTCAATCAACCATTCAAACAGTAAGCCTGTCTGTTATCAATCAAGCCACTCTGTTAATCAATCAAAAATTATTCCATCAGTGAATCAACCTTGAATCAACCTTGATTCTCAACGCAATTCGCGATTCTCAATTCCTGCATAAATCGAGAATAAAGGATCAAGAAATGTCAAATCAGCCATGGTAGCCTGAGTTAAATTACCCATGATGCAAAAGGTCTGATAACATTCACACTTGAAAATCTGTTTGAATGAATCCACGCAACACATAAATATAATCATTTACCTGTATATTATTCTATCAAGTATTTATAATTGTAGTAAATTATTAACCAGCTATGTGAATTTTAAATTCAAATTTTAGGAGCCGTTAAAAGACATTTTCTCTCGGTATAGCTCTGGCCCTGAGGAAGGCTTATTTTGTTAGCCAAAATATTGGCCTGTAATAAATCATCCCTTTGCTATAATGCCAGCTCTGCATTGAGCTTTGTTTTATTCACAATTGTTCCGCCATTTTTTTCTTTGTAGGGTGAGACTTGCATGTTTTAGAATGCAAGAATTTATCACAAAGAAGTGCGACAGGCAGATAGGAGTTAGCTAGAAAGATTAGTTTAATGTAGTTTAGAGATTAAAAAAAAAAATGTAGGAGATCTGTTTGAGTGTCACTCCCTTCCCTGCCCTTCCCTGTTTATACTAATATTATACGGTAGATCCCCACTGATAAGTAAAGAAAAAACAGTTTGACGTGGTGGGAGACTAGTAAGTGAGTTTTGGTATTGCACTTGATGTAACCAGTGAGAAAAGTGCGCAAAATAGTATCGATGTTTTTAGTTTTTCAGTCTTTTATTGAGTCATTTTGGTACAATTTCAACATCTAGTTCGAGTTAACCGATTCTTAGTCAACTGATGTAAAGATACATTCAAATACAATGAAATAAGTATTTTTTCAAGTCAACGTAGAGCTCCAGTGAACCAAATTTACCATGTTTGAGGTGGTACTACTGGGTACTTTTGATGTTGCTGTTTTTATTTTATTACTTTTAGCCAGCTCGATTTGAACCATTCGGGTATTGCAATGCAAAACAGGCTGAGTATATACCTTACTGTGCTTTTTCCTGACATCAGAGACTTAATTCCTAAAGAAATGCTGAAAAGCTTCAGTAGCCCTGGAGATAAACAGGTAGCACCAGATGCTATTGTTAAGACCAACTGGACTAAATGTGCCATTTGCCAGCAAAACAAAGTAGAGCCTTAGTTTACAGTGTTCCGCTCAGATTCCAAGCACTTGTGTGATGTTGGACTAGGGTACAAGACCTTGGCTGGAAATAATTATAGCAAAGTTCAGGGATCATGATTCCATGCCTATGCAGATAGATCTTTCACAACTAGATGAAGGTGATGGATTAGAGAATACATTGGTAAGATGCAAAGCACGCTGTCACAAAAGTTGCCATGATCTCTTCAATTCTACGAAGTCGAAACGAGCAGTAAAAAAACATGCGCTTAAAAGTGAACAACCAGTTGGTGGAAAGTATAGTACACATGTTCAGCTTCGCCTGCATCTCTTAACAATAGTTGTACGCGCTTTTTTTGTGGAGAGTATTCTACACGTAAGAACCATCTTCACAATGTCTCAACATTTGGTTTAGATGCTCATGTCAGGAAGTGTGCAATGGCATTGCAGGACTGATGAAGAGCTTTTGGCGAAGTTAAGCGCGGGTGACTTGGTAGCGCTGGAGGGTAAAATATCACACCCCCTGTTTAGCATCACTGTATAAAAAGGCTGAGAGAGTCAAAGGGAAGAAGGCGAAGAAGATGGGACAAGTCCTCAATGACCGGAGGATATAGCGCTTTGCGGAGCTGATTCCCTTTATTGAAAAGTCATGCATGGTCAGTACTGCAATACTCCCAGTTTTCAGACTTGCTGAACTTGTTGGTAAGTATACATCCCGTTTGAAACAACTTGGCAAAAACACACCTGCACGCATTCTTACTACACATCTAAAAGACTGCATTCTTTCCAAAATTTCAGCTCTTGAAGAACACAAGCAAGGACGTGATGTCTTTTCTTTGGTCTTCACAAATGATCTTGCCGATGTGCTACAGAACGCTCGCAAGGAAGACAGTGCTGAAGAAGTGATGCACCTTGCCAAAGCCGCAAGCATAGTGCGCAAAGAACACATAAATACAAATTTGACAGATCTTTTGAAGCGAATTGCTAGGTGAACTCCGTTCCACCATCACTGGTATCTCTCGTCAATATGATTCTTTATGGTCCTAACATTGAGGTCTCAAGTCTCAAGCTGGTCTTACCGTCTCTTAGTTGCTACAGTACAACAGCTACCAACAAGAGCAGCTTTAGTGGAACCCCGCTTGCCAAGTGCACTGCTTATCAGGCTGGTGACTGCTGGGCCTAGTCCAGTATTACGAAGTCCACAAGAGGGGGGATGGACATTGTATGAAGGCATTTGGAAGTCACTCCGGACAACATTACCTGACGTGACAAAATTGTGTCGAGAACTTGTCTGATGCAGATGTGAAAAAGGATGTCAGGGAAGATAGTGTTCCTGTACAAAGGCAGGCTTACGCTGTACTGCCCTCTGCACCTGCACGGCTGACTGTGACACTACATGAAGTTTCAATGGTTGCATTTTTTATTATTTCTTAAGAAAATAAATTAAGTTACAGTAGTTTACAGATGAAAGATGAATAATTTACCAGAATACAATTTTCAGAGAGTAACAATGTAACATTACTCTGTAGTCACACAAAATTCAGGAAATAACCTTTGTTTATTGATCACAGACATAAAATTAAACTAAATAATGTAGAGTGGAATAGGACCAAATAAGAAGGAAAACGATCATGGCTTAAATTGAAACTGTTTGCATTTTTGTTGTGGATTGTAGCAACATAAACCCCGACCCCCTCCATCTTTAAACAGCAAAATAATAACTTTTTCACTAAAAACAATAGTTATAATCATTACGCATAGACCTCCCTAATCTGTCGATATTCAAATTAATCGATTCAGAGAATGGAAATATGCTTTTTAAAACCACTTTTTACTTTTTTACCAGTTTTAATTGAAGGCTATTTTGGATACCGGAAATATCTCGACAACCCATAATATTTCGCGATGGCTCCATATCCACATTATTTTGATAGGCACGTGAAGTTATACTCTTCTACCAAGTTTCATGCTTTTAACCAAAACTCACACAATCCATGCACATAATATATCTACCCCACTATAGGTTTAGATTGGCAAAAGAACAACTTTGCATGTGAAATAGGCTTTTTATGTACATTTCTTAGCCATTTGTTACACGACTGCGACATGATACTTAATATCAAAACCTAATATCATGTGCCCATTTTTGAGAAGGTAAACACAAAACAAAAATTTTCTTTTTTTCTAAACTTAGATACGGTCCTTTCGGATTTAACCCAGATAATTTCGCCAGCATAATTATGACAAATTAAATGAAATAAAATAAGATTGATGAAGTTGAAACAGTGTTAATCCACTTTTTAAGTGATGTTTTGATTTGTTGTCATCCAAAAATTTGCTACCATGGCACTGTGACGTAACGGCTTCTCCTCTCTCTTTAAATGACCAGCACTGAACAATGATGGGGCCTGGATCTAGTGCCTATGAACAGTGTGTTAAATTGGTCAGACACATGATTTGCAGTCATCAATGATGTGATTAATAGCTTACTCTAACATTGGACTAATCAAGACATTGGGATAACATTGAAATATCTTGGTTAAAACTGTCTTTACCCTGAGTACAAAACATTTTTTATAGATTACAGTCTAATGGAAGGCAAAAAAGGCTGACTGTCCTTACTGAATCAGTAGTTGCTAGCCAGACAAAACAGCAAAGAGTGATGGCTAGTATAAGAAAACAAAACAGCTGACATTTCAGGATCCACCAATAAAGACATACATGTACTGAGACTGTGTTTGACTGATTAACTGACTGGCTAATATTGATTGAAAGGTTGATTGACTGATGGACAGACTTTTTGACTGATTAACTGATTAACAGAATGATGATAAAAGTTGGACAAAAATTAATTTCAGAATTGGTAGAAATAAACTCATTTCTGGTGATTTCAGAAGCTCTAAATTTCAAAGTTTTTCAGGGGAACATGCCCCCGGACCCCTCTACATAGACTCTTGCTTTTGGCGCTTGTTGAGCTCGTGCTACATGCGAGCTAGCCTCATCAAAAGAAAATAATTATGCTCTGTGCCCAAATTCAAAATCAGGACTCTTTTTGTGAACAATGTTTTATGTGCAACCTAAATCAAGGATGCCAGAAAAAAGCTGTTGGAACAAAAAGTAAACTTGATTCATAAAAAATACTTATTTCATAGTTATCAATATCTGATGGTTCTGACTCCTTAATTTCACCAGTTTGAAAGGGTCCCAATCTCATTGCTTTTATGTTCAGTGTTAAAATAAATGTGTATTACAGTTGTTGTATCATCAAAGTCAGTCAAAAACTCTTAGAGAAAAATTAATTAATTTGCTTGTTTAAAGATTATTTTATCGATTCTTTATAGTTGTATGTATAGTGGAAAGCTTATTTTTTCAACCCCATCCACACAAAAAAATCATGTTCACAAAGTGTTGGAGGGAGAAAAAAATATTAGGCAAATGCATACTTCAAGAAAAAATTCACGGCAAATGAATGGGTTGAAAAAAAAAATCATGCCTACAACAATTCACCCAACCCTCCCCTCCCCTGCTCCCCTAGGACCCTCAAGAAAGTGGTTGGCCCCTAAAGTGGTTGGCCCCTAAATGTGTTTGTAGCTCTTTTATGAAGAGAACCCTTGTGGTTCGATTCTTAGCAGGTATTTGAGCCACCTCAGTAAGCATAGTTCACTTAATCTTATCATTTTGGTTCTTTTCTCATGTGAAGTTCAAATGTAGTACAAGCCACCTTCTTAGCCACATTAAGAATATGGCTCAGCTTGTTTTAAGCATTTTTCTTCCCATATTTCATGCAAAATGAACCCTTATTCAGGGGATACCAACCCCGGGGGTACTGCCATATATGGGCTATATAGGTATGTGCCGCTGTGAAGGGTATGGTTTTCAAGCAGTTTACTTTTAGGTTAGGGTATATAAATCAGAATTTTTTGGGTCTAGAATAGGGTATCACTTTTCAAGAAACTTATCAGTTGGTTGAAGATTTTATCTAGACTGGGGAAACAACTACTCTAGGATAGGGGGATTTGGGGAGTTTACTCTAGTATAGGGTAGCAAAATTCAGCTGAACTAGCTCTGGTATAGGTTAAGGGTTCCAGGGTCCCAGCCTTAGCACATCCCCACCTAGAAATTTTTCCCCATAAAAAATGAACCCTTATTCAGGGATACCAACAAAGGCCTGTTGCCCACTAATTTAACGTACATGTACATGTTTCATTGTAACCATAGTTATTACTGCACTTCTCAAAAACACAAGAAAACTCTGAAGTTCAAAAGCCAATCGATGTTTGCATTTTACTCTGCCGTCAACCATCTTGGAGGACTTCTTAGGAAACAGAACTTTTCTTAAATGGGTTCAAAAGGTCATGGTTTGTGATCTGTGATTGGTGGATTTTGACACGTTTTGTGCGTTTCTGTGTTTCAAGGTTTGTTGCTTGTGATCGTAATCAAGATTGATGGCAACGAATAACACAATTGTGAACGCAGCCTTTTTACTTTAGAGTTTCCTGTGTTTGTGAAAAGGAAAGTAAATTGGAATGGTTATGAAGCCTGCTATACCTCTCTGTTACATGTTTTTGTTTCCTGTTTTGGACTTGACGGTGCACAACGTTTACATGTAATAATAGCATTCCTATCATTTTGATCTTGTAAACAATAAAAACTTCACAGCAATTTTTTCAGTCACAAATTATTATTTGGCGCGCACACCGTCAGGGAGCTACTAACATAACCTGTAGCACTGTTGTTTTTATCTTTGATGAATCTGGCCTTTCATGACCAGTCTCGTCAGACATGGTTGGTTATAAGTCTAGGGAAGAGTACACCTAGAATTATCTCATGATTTAAAACATAAGCTTTATCCTTTAAGCAATATTACCTAAATATAACGTGCTTATAACACCGACATTTTCTGCGAAATAGCCTTGAATTTAGGCTAAGATAATCAAATAAACTTACCTCACAAATTAATTTTGACGTCTTCTGCCTTGCCACATCAGTGAACATTTAAGCCATAAATGAAGCCAAGTGTTAAATAATTAGTTAAAGAGCCGATAGAGATCAAATCCGAGTTCCTTAAGTCCAAAAAATGTCACTTTGGGTCCAATTTAACTACAGACGTGTTGCACAGTCTGATTTGCCGCCATATTGGTTTCTCTTGGGACCCAGTCTTCCGGCGTGTGAGTCTCGCATGCGAGCTTCCACAGCACTCGTCTCGCGTTTCACGAGTACTCGTAAAACGTGGACAATAAAAAGTAAAAGCGAGGAGAAACGGATGTTTTCGCAAATAAACAAGAATCGCCAAAAAATAAACAAGAATCGTTTTTTCCAGGCGTTCAGATAGTAGAGCGCAGCAGACAAATTCACGAAGAAAAAAATGAGGGGAGACAACTTAACTCGCTCCACACTGACCGCCACGCTCTACTATCCGGAACGCCTGGATGGAACAGGTTATGTAGGTGAGCCATAATCGGGGTGGGAGACCGTACGTCAACTAGATATCTTTTCCAGTAATAAGAAATAAAGCATCAAGAAGTCCAACTTCCCAGTTGAAACAACGTGTATTGAACGTTTCAAACAATATTTTGACTGGCCAGACCAGCCTTTCAGGTTTATAGATGTTACCAGTAACGTTTATTTTGAAAAACGAAAATGGTATTACTCCTCCTTTGAAATGACCTCCTAGTTTCGTTTTACAGCAAAAGGGATGTGGAAAACGATCTAGAAATAAGGATGATGTTGTTGTATGACGGCACCGGTACCCATGCATTGTTGCAGAAAAGAAAAGCAAAACGAAAAAATATAGCACTGGACTTTCCTATAATCTTTGAAAATTGGTTGAGCCTTTGAAAAAATTAGCTTTGAAAATTGATTGAAGCACAATAGCACACGTGATACGCATTATATTATTATTATTGTGTGTGCGTGTTTTTGTATTTTTTGTTGTTGTCGCTGTCTGTTTATTTTTCATTTTTTTCAGTGTAGTTGGTTTTCCGTTTCATCC